GACAGCCACACCGAGCCCCAGGAGGGGAAGGTTAAAAGCCACTGCCCACGCCATAAAACACGCCCACCTCTGCTCCAGAAGGGGAGAAAAAGGCCAGCTACTCACCCGTCTGCGGGTCCATCTCCCGGCCAGCCCAGGCCCGGTGTGCGCTGGAGCCTGGCACGTCCTGCCCGTCCCCTCCTCTGCCGGTGACACAGCCACCTCGCTGCCCGTGCTGCGGTGAGGACGGGCACCACTCCTGACCCACTGGTTCAACTGGTTCCTGGGGGAGAAAGCAGAGGAGCTGCAGCAGCCACCGCTCCTCCTGCGCCCAGCCCAGCGTCCCCACCCGCTGGGGCAGCTCTGCCCTCCCGCCGCCGGCAGGGGCAGGCCCCACATCTGCCCTCCCGCTGCCGGCAGGGACAGGCACACATGGAGGGGACAGGGCATCCCCCACCAGCCACCCCCAGTCACCCGGTACAATGCACTTACAGCTGTATTCGATCATCTTCTCAAACCCCTGAGCCGCAGGGGTAGGTGGCAATGCTGAAAGAAGGGGAAACCAACTCCTGTGGCTGCAGGTAGAAGGTAACAAAGAGGGATGACCATTAACAGCCTGGAAACTGGGCAGCCAGAGGTAAAATCCCTCCTCGCTCTGTGCATGCTTTGCCAGGCACAGTCTCTGAGTACACCATGCCCAAATGCGAGGGGCACAGGGCGTGGGGCAGGAGTCAAGCCACCAAGAGCTCAAGTGGGCCTCTCAGCATCACTCCTAGTGACCATGGCTGGGACCTGTGGGGATGCCAGTTGGGATGCAGAGGGGATGATTGCGGACCCCAAGGTCCTGGCAGTGCCCAGCTCGCACAGAGAGGCCAGGACTGCTCCTCGATGGGCAGTGGAGAGGGAAGGGCCAGGGCGTGCATCTGTGTGGCTTGGGGAGGCTGGTGGCTGCGCAGAGCCCTGGGCCAGCCCTCCCTGGCCTCTGCCTGACCCCAGATGGAGCCGGGATGCCTGGAAGCCTGCATCATGCCAGGGAAGGGTGACGGGCTGGAAATGCAGCCGCACTCCAGGAAGCAAAGGCCCGGAGGCGCGTGGAGCTGTGACATAACATCACAAACCTCAGCCGCTTCCTCAAAGCCTTCCTTAACCTCAAAGGAGGAAGCGCCGCTCCCCGCCAGGCCACCTCCATCGCACGGTCTCCATGGACCACACAGAGCCAAGACTGGAGCCTGCCAAGGCCCCCACAACTGGATCCTCACCAGGGAGCATGACCCTTACCTGCAGAGCCACATGCAGATGCCAGAGTCCCTGGTCAGGCTAGTGGGTTATGCTGGGAAGAGTGAGCAGGGGCGAGGTGACACTGTGATGATGGTACGGCTCCCTGGCCGAGGAGCTGCAGGTCCTGGATGCTTCACGGCCTCTCTGCTGGCACAGTGCACACAGTTGGCAGCAGCAGCTCTCCCCGACCTTGATTACAGAAGGTAATTAGCTGATCGGCAAATCCTGCACACCCACCACTTCCAGTGTCAGCCTGCACAACGCCAGGTTTCCCCGTCAGCGGGGTGATCGCAGCCTCCCTGACCCCAGCCTGTGTCAGGCAGCTCGTGCATGCCTAGACCTAAATGCCCATGCACATTCACATGGGTAGCAGGCCTCCCTAAGTCTCCCTAATCAGCCCAGCGGTGCAGGAACCGGCAGCCAGCATTGCCACAGCACAGTCTGTTACTATGGGTGGGTACCAAACAGTCTGCCCAGGACACCAACCATTTATCCCCACATAATCGGACACCCCTTGTGCCTGTCAAGTCCCCCAGTCCACATAGTGACCCCAGAGGTAACCTGCCATGGCCACCCGCTCTCTCCCCTTTAAACTTCACTACGGCACTGCCAGGGCCCGCTGCAAACCATGACCCGGGGCTGCGCAGGGACACACAGACCGAGTGACCCGTGAGGCAGGAGCACGTCATGGCCCCGTAACCTCACGCATAAACTCTTCTCCTTTCCTCCTCCGCCTACTAAAACTCTGTTTAAAACCAACCCGGTGCAATGCGGAAGAGTCGGACCCGGAGCGGGATGGCTGAGGTTCCCCTTATCATGAGAAAGGGGGCAGGAAAGATCCTGCCCTGTCAGTCAGTTCACTCCTGATAAGCTATTTTGTGACAGCAGCCCCGCAGGTGAGTCACCCTGCGGTGGCAGATGCTCAGGAGATTACTGCAGGTGATGGTGCTGCTGATAGACCGGTGTTCTATTACAATACAAATCATAACTCGTGTTTCACAACTCCTATTGTGGGTTTTAAGGAGTGCTGGGGCGGTCCTGTCCCAGTGTTCGCGCAGCGCGGGCAGAGCAGCGCAGGCACAGGGGCGGTGGGAGCATCGCCGGGCTCCCAGGGCACCCGCAGGCTCCCCGCGTCCCGCACCGGAGGAGATTCACCGGGTTTCTGCAGGCAGGAGACCACGCCGGAGCTGGATGAACATGGTGAGTTACCGACAGCTTCGCCCACCGCGCTGCCCCCTCCGCGCACCCCAGCCCCCTGCACCCGAACCCCGCACACCCCAGGGCTGCCAGGGGCATTTTTCTGGTGATGAGGCAGCCCAAAAGAGCCGCTGCTTCCTGGCCCTATCCCTGCACAGCAACCCAGCATAGAGCGATTTTACCCATCTTTCTCAACCCCATACCATGGCCCTCGGATGCAGTGCTTGGCTCTCCCCACCAGCTCTCGCTCCCATCTTTCCCCATGGCTTTCCTT